GGGGGGGAGAGTTGAATAATTGTCTTAATTATCATTGTAAATAATGTAGTATTTTGAGGCTTTTAGTATCTCTATGCAGTAATTTTCGATCTGAAAATTCACACTCTTAACAGATTTACCAAGGTATGCTTTTTCTCTGATCTTGTAGTTGCATCAATGATTCTTCGTCAACCTTGATGTATCATCTGAAAGAGTTTTTGACCGTCGTTTGATAATTTTGTAATGTTCAGTAGGGGTGAACCATTTTTTTAACGGAACTTAATTAATGGCTTTCATTAACCATTAATATTAATGGTTAATGTTTTCTGAGAAAAACTTAATTCATTAATATTAATGAAAACATGAATATTAATGACCTAATATTAATTGTTAATGTTTTCATGAAAACATTAATTATTCATATTAGTGAATTAGGTTCTTCTAAGGAAACATTATCTACTATTAATAATCAATTAAATGATCTTAATAGTTAATGTTTTATCGGAAAGCGTTAATTAATTAATATGGAAAATTAATATTGTCACGAAAACATTAACATTAATATTAAATTAATGTTAATGGCCCACGCCTAATGCTCAGTACTAGAAATTTGAAACTATTTAAAGTAACAAGCCTTTTGAAGAGGAACGGAAACGCCTCGAAGAAATTTCATCAATGACTGGTAATCTTAAAGAGATCTTTAACTGGATTGAAAATTTCAGGAACCGAAGTTTTAATATGTTCTCAAAGTATTTGACTTAAAATTTTTAAACAAACTAAAGGGTACATCAATATGGATTAAATAGCTATGACAGTTTAAATAGCTATAGGGAGTTTTAAATAGTTATATGTTTAATTAAAAAGTATCTCTTTTGAGAAGTTACGACTACTTTTGCTTGCTAGCATTTCAAAACTTACGATTCTTTAGCAAAAAAAATAATTATTCTTAGAGAATGAAGGTCATATAGTTATTAGCAATGAGCTTATTATTTTATTATTAAAGTTAAACATAGTTTTTCCGATATAAATGCCTTCAGTACCTGTGTATTTTAAGTTTGTCTATTTTTTCATTAGCTAGAAGTATCGATTATCAAAAAAAAAATCGCCACCCATATTGTTTAAAAACAATAGAAATGTATGCCTCGTGCTCCGGAAATCAGCTAGATACGTCTTTCTATTTACGCAAGATATATTTTATCTAGATTACTTTCTCTTTTTTTTCTTTCTCTCTCTCTCGTTTCATTATTTACTCAACACTATTCTATTAGTATGTATACTTGAGAGACATTTTCTGTAGATACAAAGAATAGAGTGTGAATCCTTTTGTGTAGGCCAAATCGTGTCTTAAATACATAATCTAGTCCCATATGAACGACCTTTTAGATAATGTTTCCATTCGATTCTATAACTTTTAAATAGAAAAGTTCCATTTCTGACGATTAATTAATTGCTATTTCATTAATTTCTAATCAACACTACGACCAAGTCATATCAGCGTGTATGGAAGTTTTTATTTCCGGATTTTTACGTGTATTTTACTGTGAGTATCAGATGAAATGACGAAAGCAGAACTCCTGCTCTCTACGTCCGTGGAGAAAATACATAAAATCAAAAATCTCTACCTTAGAAACAATTGCAATAGCATGATTGTTTTCTTTTCATTTGAATGAAATTATTTTTCTGTTACACTTTGATATCTAGTGATATTTTTACAAGCAAGATAGATAAATTGAGGATCACCAGTAAGTACTAGAAATCACATAGTTTATTTTTTATTTTATACTCGTATGTAAAACAATTATGATTGAAACAGAATTTCGTTTTTAAGCCATATTTGATTACATTATCATTATTATTATTATTATTATTATTATATCCATTATGTTTAGAATAAATATTTATATGCAATTAACGAGAGCAGATATTGAGATTAGTCTGTAGTTCAATTATTGTAATAGTTGTATGCTCATTTAAACGAGTTTTTGCTTATTTTCTCTCTTATTCGTATTACAATGAAATGTGCATACTCTTAAAATTATAAAAGATTTATGTTGTGTGAGAAAACACAATTATGCTTATTTTTGTCGATCTGATAAGTACTCAAAAAAATGAATTTCTAAAAACAACTAGGTACTGTTTTTGTTTTGTTTTGTTTTGATCATTAATATTCAAATAATATATCTTTTTATTGAGAAGCAAATTTTTAGATACTGGTCAATGACGTTTCTTTAGAGTCCATTTCTTTTTTTTATTGAGTTTTCTCTCGTTCCTGTATATCTTCGACATACAATGAATTCGATCATAAGGCAATATTCGAATTAATTTATTTTAGAAAACATAGTAGTTGTAAAATATCGAAGAAAACATAGCCTCTGATAAGTTTAATAACGGAAGGAAGTATGCATAAGGTTTCACTTCACGTCTAGTACAGTAATTATTAACGTTTATTTATATTTATGTGTAGTTACTTTTTTAATGATTTATTATAATCATCTAACAGAAGACCTATTACTTCATTGTTAAAAATATTCTATTTATTGTACTTTTGTACTAATTGAGCCAAAAAATTGTAGGCAAGAACTAGTTTTTTTTCTCGTTTTTTCTCTTTTCTTTCAAGCTCTTCCTTCTGTGGAAACAGGCAGTACTAATAGTCTAGTTTGTCTTCCTTTCTCTCATTTTCTTTTCTCCTTTTTTTGCATATAACTTCCTGTATTACAATAAGTGAATACACTACTTCAAATTTCTTTAGATAAAACAACATTGCTAACTATATTTTTGTATTAGATACAAATGAGCGTAGTCAACTTGGACAATATACTAGTCAAAATATTCAAGTAAACCAACGAGTTAATTGTACACGATGGAGAGAGAAGAAAATGGCGATATCATCATCTTCTGATGTAAATACCTTTGTGCATGTCAATTACTAATGTTATCTGACGCGTGTGCTACTTTCTATTCTATCATTTTTCTCGTTTACTTAGATCTTATTTTACTTTATAATTTAACAAGTGTATGCGTGTCTGCCAGGTTTGATAATCTTTTAATAAGTTGACAATCTAAAAATCTAACGAAGGAGAAGAGATTAACAAGATTGATCCTATTTTAGATAAGTGACCGTCGTTTTATTTTGCTTTATCTATTACTGGAAAAATGAAGCATGCCGAATAGAGCATTATTAAACGGTTCATCATCAGTCAGCTCTGTTTTATCTCGTATGTCACCATCTGTTATAACGGGTCCACGTTCCTTTTTTACACAATTTATGATGACCATTACTGTTTCGGTTCTTCTGATTGGAATATTGTCAGGTGTTTCATGTTCCCCTGCATCATTATCAAATCCAATAGAAAATACTAACAATAATAATAACAAAAATACTGATGAATCGAATGGATTGTTTGATCAAAATGACTATCAACATGGTTCACAACAAGATTCATCTTCAATTTCATTATCCCATCATGAACAACCGTTTGCCGGATCATCACCAATTTGGCCTGCTCAACCGCGAGCCCATGCTAATCAATTTTTAATGTCGCATGCCAACAACAATGATGCCATGGTACCAAAATGGTTTACACAACTTAATAACAATGACAATGACGATGATGATGATGATGATGATGATTATGCTCCATCAGGTATATCAGTCAATAAACGGTTATCATATTATAATGTCGGAAGATATCCAATTTTGAACAAGCGTAAACAAGTCACAAAACCTCCTATGGAAGTTATGAATGAAATTGTCAATTCAATTTATCTTAAACGTTAAAGAAATTGTAGAAAAACTAAAGTTTTACAAAACAAAATAATTTTTTTGATTTTCTGAAGAATCATTGACTTCTATTGTATCGCTTGAATCAATAAATAATTGACAAATAAAAAAAATAATCATCTCCTTAATTTTAATAAATATCATAATTTCTGAAAGAAATTTGTTGATTTGTTGAACATGATATAAATGTACACGCATTCCATTACAGTATATCATGAAATAATGGAAATAAGGATTAGATTTTTCGGTTTTTCATAGATTTTTTTTGTTGGCATACTCTTATTAAGCAAATTGATACTCGCTTGAGATGATTGAACAATGGTACTCAGTAACTGCTTTCTCTCTCTCTATATATATTGCAAAATTCATGCTCGGTCTTATAGTAAAATTCATTATCAGTATCTCTCATGTTTGTATTTCATTGACCATTTATATATATATATATATTCAAATCGATGAAAGTAATCATATTTAACGCTATTAGTCATCTCATATGTAAAACGCAGTATGTTATGTTCATGAAACCAATAAATCCCTAGTTAATCGAGGCTATGAACATTCATATGATTGATCTGTTTTTGCCATAGCGTAACATAGATACTGTTCACAAATTTACAACGTGGACTCAACTTATTATTCAGCTCTTAAGCAACATGAAATGTTAGCACTAATCGTGTAGTATGCACTGTAAACAGTTAGAAATCAACTTGTCATGTTTCGATTTAGTTACTTGATTATATGTTTGTAAAATCAAGTACATTTTATGAAAGAAAGCCACACAAATTTTAATTAACATGGGAGACGACATGCGATGAATAGGATTGATTATAATTATTACAATGCCAATCATTCTTCATAAAGTGTTTTAATACAAGTCATCTGTCAGCCAACGAGTACCTTTAAAAGATAATTGAAAATTTGGCTTCTTTTCATTTTCAGCTAACATTTATGAAATCCATAAAATATGGATCTCAATAAAATAAACATTTTCTCTCTTTTTTTTATTTATATGTTTTCCATAAATCCTTTTCATCACGCATAAAAGCAAAATAATCTGACACTACAAACAATTACTCAAAGCTTTTCTGATACTAAAATTAAGGTCGAGATCAGCTACATATAATTTCTACATACACTGGCAGCAGTGTCAACGTAATTCATGTTGTTGATAGTGCTCGTGTATTTACGAATTGTATGTAGCTTATCTCAACCCAAAATTAATTACTAAAGCTCTGTCGACAATGGCTTTAGGGGAAAGTACATCTCTCAGTTGATGAAAGTATTCACTTTTTTCTCAAAAAGAATTCATTCATTTATTTGAAAAAAAATAGATTGCAAATATGCGAGAAAACTATCTTCAAGTTCTAAATTGACGCAAAAAACATGGTATAAGTACACTTTTTAATCGAAAAATTCCTCTTTTAATTCTTCTGATTTGTTTTTCTCATCACACTACATCCTCTAAAGTGGAATGAAATGACGTATATACGCTGGCTGTGAGTGACATCTATGTCAGATGTTATAGTAGAAAACTAAATAAAACTCCACAGATATATTTTAATATAAGTAGGTCAAAATTTGAAATATATTTTTAATATAATAAATTTTATATTGCCAAGGTAAATATTTCTGATACAATCGATCTATGTATCTGATGATTCGTCTCGCAGTACTCCATATAATACATACGAAATGTAAATAATAGTTCTCCCTCACAAATATTCATTCAATTTTGAAAGAAACAGCTTAAATAAATCGATTCTTAGGATCAATCGTTTCTTTTTAGATCTTTCATTTAAAAGACATTCAGAAGCAATAACATGGGTCCAAAATTTGATCCTACAGCTGTTTATGAAAGTAAAGTAATGATTTCTGTTTTATTTTCAATCCAAAATATCTGATATGTAGTTATGGTTCGTGTCACTGGTGGCGAAGCACCAGGTGGTTCATCATTAGCTCCAAAAATCGGCCCTCTTGGTCTAGTATGTATCAGAAATATTTCTTCTCAATATTATAACAATTAATTTTTCTATATCAAGTCTCCAAAAAAAGTGGGTGATGATATTGCTAAATCCACTGCTGATTGGAAAGGCATGCGTGTAACAGTAAAACTAACTGTTCAAAATCGTAATGCTAAAATCGATGTTATTCCATCAGCATCATCACTTGTTATTAAAGCGCTTAAAGAACCACCACGTGATCGAAAAAAACAAAAGAATAGTAAAATATTTTCTATATAATTATTCTCATTGAAAATCATTCTAATTTCAGTTAAACATGACGGTAATGTTTCACTTGATGAAATAATTAAAATTGCTCGAATTATGCGACCACGCTCCTTAGCTAAGACATTTGATGGAACTGTCAAAGAAATCCTTGGTAAAAGTTTTGTTCGATAAGTTGTATTTATTATTGTTTCTGTTTATTATTGATAGGCACGGCTCAATCTGTTGGTTGCAAAGTAGAAGGTTCTCATCCACATGCTATTATTGACCAAATAAATAATGGTCAAGTTGATGTTCCACGAGATTAAATGAAGAAAACAAAACACAAACATCCGATCATTCATTCTCAAGAAGAAAAAAAACAAATATGAAGATGTCATTGATGACTTTATTCAAGTTATATCGTTTGTTTTTGATTTATAACCGCTTTTTAATAAAGTCGAAATGAAACTTCAACTAAAACAAAACTCAAAAATATTTCTTTTAAATATCGAATGATACACAAAAATCAGAAATGATTTATTCGTGTCAAATAGTCAAACAAATCTATATTCTATTCTTTTTGTTTTGTTCAGACAATGGAAACATAATTCAATTATGAAAAATAATTGCGAACGTGTGATGTCGCAGGCAATATGGATACTAGTGTTATTATATTTATATATGTATTGTTTCGATAAATTGATCATCAGAATTTTTATGAATCCTTCAATCGATCTAACAATTCATCAACTCTATTACTAGGCATCTGATGTCAGAATAAAAACATGACATTCAGATTGAGCAATACTATCGCACCTTAGCAATTACATAGAGGACAGTATCACGTCTTCAAAATCCTCTAGTTACATCTGACGTTCTGACACAAATGAAATTTTAGAGCTTTAGTTCTATTTATAATAGACTCATAAAGAGACACGTTCTTCTAAAACAACATTCGACAGAAAGATAATATTGTTAATATCATCCGTTGCATAATTGTCACAATAACATAAAACAAAAAAATATATTTCGAGCAAAATATTTTTGTATACTCTTCTGAACTACTGATTTCTTATCACACATGAATAAAAGCAGAAACTACGGTACTAGTAGTAATGCATGTTACTAGGAACATCAATTATTAATGCATATTACTCAGTTTTACTTAAACAGAGACCGACTCTTGTTTTATTTGTCCAATACAACAGTGAAATATATCTAATTTTCTATTTGTCTTTTTCCATCATTGATTTTTTTGTTTTGTATCAGATATCACATAATTTTCTGTCATACAGAGAACAAATCTAATGGGTAGCATGTCAACAAAACACTAACAAACTAATATTTTATTCATGTTTTGACTAAAGTCAAAGATATTTTTTGATTCTATGAACAAATAGTAAGATTACTATGGAATTGAATGTCTAAACCTAGTCGAAAGAATAATACAGGATTGTATTTTAGGTACCTTGATAAAACAAGATCTGCCGATATCTTTGTATGATAACAAAAAAGCTATTAGAATAGATATTAAACGATATTCAATAGAAGATTTTTTTTTATCAAAGAAAAGTTAATACCATTTTTTTTGCTCACCATTTATTTGATTACAAATTATATGAGAAATATTTTAATACTATTTTATTATCTGACAGCGTTCAATTTTATCGATCTTGAATTATAAAAATATGTGAGAACTAATTCGAACTTACTCAAGTTCTAAAAGATTACTTGTTGTATAATTAAAGTGCGCTCCATTTTATCCAACTGAACTTTATATTTTTATAATCCTGGTTCAAAGTCCAAGAAAAAAACGTCATGGAATATGACAGATGAAACGCTTGATTTAATTGGCGTCTGGCGAGAATTGAAATTAGACGTTTAATTATTATTTCATACTCAAAGCTATTACGCAGTTGCCACAACAAGATTTCTTTGACAAAATAATTTGGACTAATTTTTCCCTATGTGAAATCAGAGATTTCTATATTATCATTGAACCAAAAATGAATGAACTTTATACTGGTGTTTTGCGCCAGGTAAAAATAACCAATGAAGCCAAACAAAATATAGTTGACAAAGCAAATCTGGTAGACTCATGAAGTTGAGTGCAATGTTCTGATGGAATTTTAAAAATAGAAGTCATGATTAATTAAATTGTGTCGAAAAATATTTTTATTGGTGATTTTACTCAATTTAAGATAAAGGAAAGATATTCTTAATTTGCAATGAATTGAACTATTTTTGATTACTATACCAAACGATAGATATTGTTTTGCTTTTCGTAACGGAAAATTTTCTAAAAATTTTCATTTGTTTACCAACAGAATCGAACTTTTATTGATTGAATGAGAGACTCGTATGTCACGGTCTCTTATAGAGTGTCAGGGGGAGGGGGAATGAGTTCAAATTTTTATCCTATATACTTCAAATACTCCTTTTAGATGGCGTTTTAAAATATATTTAAATCTAGTAAGAAAACGATTTTAGTTTTCCATCTCGATTAGTCTACCAAGCTACCGTAGTTTAATAGAAAGAAAGCGATATATTCACGTATTATTGAGAAATATTTAATTCTACAATGAAATAATCTACAAAAAATTTTAATTAGTTTTGTGGAACTCACATATATTTTCGAAGAAAATAGTGAGTGTAAGTTGACTTGTTAGGTTTTTGCGGCTCCCCTGTACCCCACTCCATCCCCATTACAGACATAAAATATAAAGACATTAACACTTAGATGCGCTAATTAGAAACTTTTTTGGTACAGGTCGATTGCCAATGTTCACT